CTTTCAGGGCCTTTTCATTATCCCTTGAATATTTAAGTTTGAAGCTATGATAATCAGTCAGGCCGGAAATGTTGTTATAGTCTTGGTAGCAGTGGAGTCTGTGTTTCATCAGTTCACTTAAAGCTTTCCTCCTGCTCCCCTAAAGCCCAGATTCGTATGTGTTCCGGATGGGAAATGACAGCGAGCTGTAAGAAGAATTGTCACTACATGGCAACAACTTTTAATCAAGAGCTTGTTTCCTCTTGTTAGACTGAGAGCAAGTCTCTGCGAGGGCTTTTTTCCTCCACTTCATTTTGGTTTTGCTTGTTTCTTTTCAAGTGAGCTGTCACATTTTCTAATTATAAAACATTCTGCACTTGCAGCAAAGATTGGGTTATGCAATTTTCGTAATTCAATAGATTGCTTGTCACTGCTGAACAGAAAACCTTTTATTATCTTTCAGTCTTTTATACATCTACTTTTCCTAGCTCTCTGACACACTTGGGTGGAGTGGGGGGAGAAAGTCAGCCCCTCTTTAGCGTGTGCCATTGCATTTACCTAATTGCATAAGTAAATGTAGTCTGACACTGGAAGGACATGGAAATGCCTCAGTTATGACCTGGTAACTTCCTCTGGGGCATACAAATGTGTTTACATGTTTTGTAGATGTGAAATATATTCCTTCTCTCCCTTCCGTCCCCATTCCCCATCTTAGAATAGGCTAAATATATTTTTAAGGATTTTACTGGAAGTTTACCTGATTTTCATGTTTCCCAAATACTAAAGCTACCAATTCTAAAAGCACGTGTTCAGGAGTGTATTCACTTTACAGTCATCTGTATGTTTTAACTTTTTCTCTCATTAGGCTAAATATTCCTCAGACTAGCTAAGGTTGTCTTGAAAGACTTGTTTTCACAAGAAAATAATTGGATACTGTTCTTTTCTTCTGGAACTCTCTGATAGGATTCACTGATGCCAATTTTTCAATACTCCCTTTTGGCCTGAATGCACTGTTGAAATAAGCCAAATGGTAGGTTTCTAATTAAAGATCCAATTCTAAAATATAAAACTTGTCTGATCTCTGGAAACAAGTGGCATTATACTGACAGCCTCTCTGGCAACGTTGAGAAATTGAATCGCAAGTATAAATGAACACAGTGAGCAGGGAAAACCTGTATCACACTTGAGAGCATTCCAGAAGCAAAAGACAATCCTTATTAAACCAGATGCAAGTCACGACAGCGAGTTTTGCAAATTGACAATGTTCTATAAAACACAGGTCTTCCCTCATTAGAAGCTATGCTGCTGCACCCAAAAGTAAATGGTCCAAATCATATTTCTGATAATATGGGTGAAAATACCTGAAACTTATCAGTTTACTGTCCTTTTATGTTTTTCAATCAAGTCATGAATAGTGTAACCATTATTCCAGAAAAGCATATAGAGATTGCTACCACGTGAAAATTTGGCTGATTCTCCCATGAGGCATTCTCAATGCTTTTTTTCAAGAATGTATTTTGAGCAGTCATTCTAAAAACCTAGATTATTCTGTCTGTAATACAGGATCTGACAGCAACAGATCTGAGAAAAAACAGTAGTTATTAGTGATTCTGAGGAAAAAAAATTGTTTGCTTTTTTTTTTTTTTAAAAAGTGAGTTCTTTCCCTCCTGCCTTTCAGTGCTGTAGGGACTTAATGATTACAAGACTTTGAGTTCTTTGATGCATTCATGCATATCCAGCAGAAAACAATCAACTTGCTTTTAATTTAGTTACATGAATTTAATTGAACGTTCATTTATAAAATCTACACTACAAAGCTCAAGCTTTTTTCTGAGTTATTTTTCATTCAATTTCCCCTGCGTACTCCTCCAGAAAAGCCAGATCTTAGCCTGCATTACTGTTGCTTTGCACTGTTTCGACATCAGGAACCAAGTGTTTTTAGAAGCACTTTGCTGTATTTTGGAGCACTCATGGATGAGGTGATGACTACATGAGTAGGTGGAACCACGCCACTCATTCTCTTTGTTCCCGCCTGCCAGTAAGAGGTTATTCTGGAAGAAGCGGCATACATCTGCAGTACTTTTTTGTGGGCTCATCACTGCAGATCTTCCTGGCTCGTTCCAAGAATGAGAAAATGTAAAGGTATCCGTGTGTGTCCATTTCAGCTATGGCAAATGATACTCACCCCCACCTGCAGCTTTGTATCCAGCATATTGTGTACTGCCCTAACACCCAACTCCTCTTGTTCAGTGACTACCAAGATGTTCTGCTGAAATTCAGAGATTTTTAGCAGCTCAGCTGTGTAAGGTTGCTTAGAAACCAGCTTGCTTATCCCCCACATTCTCGTGACAGATTTCCTATGCAATAACATCACTGCATGACACACTGGTATCCAGACACGTGTTCCTTTTCCACTTGAGATTCTCTGAGTAAAGGTGGTTGGTGCCTCTCACAATTCGTAAACAGCATGTGGTAAATCACTGGAGTATGAAATCACTGCCACAGTCAAAATGAGCTCAAGTTTTGAATGTAAGCAGTTTCTCCCTCTTGAATTTAGTTATTGATCTTTTCTTCCCAAAAGTAATTTCTAATTTTGTTTTTCAGACTGGGTAGCTATGACATTTATGGTAATCTCCACTCCCTTCTTTGCCTCTGTATATAATACTTGCTTGCACCATTTCAAAATTTAGATGGTAAGGGCTTTTGGTTACAGCTGCTTTCTCCTTTATATTTTCTTTATGCACAGTTCATCTGAGATCTTGTACAAATATCAAAACATTTATTACAAAACCAAGTATTTATTCTTTAAAATGTCACTAATAAGTATCAAGGATATCAACTTAGAGTTGAGGAGAGTCATTGTCAGGCCCTTCATATTCATGTATCTGTCCTTGACCGAAGGGGTTTTAGCACGGGTTTTACTTTATTTCTGCTCTCTGTCTGATAACTGTATTGCACTCTTGCCAGAATGGCAATGTGTTGTTCTGGTAAATTAATGCGAAAAGCCAACCACCACATCTAGCGGAAAGAATATTTGCTATTAAAAAAGACAGTAAGACCCTTCATAGTCATCTTGTTCAGTCTCATATAAGAACCACATGCACCTTCATTCAAAACTACAGTCACTGCTTTCATAGACTGTGCAACGTATCATCAGTGAACCGTATAGTTTAAAATTGTAAACTAGTATAATTTTCACATATTTATTTGTTAATTTTATTTTGTAACTATAAAACTTGCGCTTATTATTTGAACACTGTTTCAAACATTATGAACCAAGAGTATAATTTCTTTAGTGTTCATACTCTGCCAAAAGAATGTATTTAGAATGTCATTAAAATGCAAAACTTATCAACATAATCCAAAAATTATTTAAACATACATTCTGCTTTATAGGGCACAAAGGCCTAAACCCCGCAATTAAGCAGTAGTACAGTCAAGACAAAGACTGTAAGACTTAAGAGAGTTTCCTGGGGTAGAGAATATTTTAAGAAGGATTTATGAAAGAATGGGATTTGGAGACAGATGAGAGCTGTCTGCTTGAAAAAAAGCCAAACTGAAATAACTGAGCCAAAAAAAAACAGTAAAATGATCAGAAATTACACAAATGAATAGGGCTAGAACATATAGCATGTTGAAGGTGAGGATAAAGTGTTGCATTGAATATTGTGAAAGAAAACCAATGAATGAATGGATGGTACTGAAAGAAAAGTCAGTTCTGTTACTCCTGGTTTTGTCACCAGCATTAAAATTTCACAAGAAAGATAACTTTTGAGAATAATGAGGAAAGAGGTGAGAACATTCACAATTGCATTTAGTTGAATGACAACAGAAACACAAAATATTCTCTGCCAAGCTGCTCATGAATCTAGAGAAGTGTTTGTGGTATTCATGAAGAAAATACGAGCAGAGTTGTGCAAAAGTGAAAGGCAGAAAGCAGACCATACAAAAACACTACCCTGAAGTATGGTGGTGTGATAGGCAGATGTCTTTGAAAATATTTTTTTTTAAATTGTAAGTCATTGTTTTAATGCTTATCCACACCTCAGTTAGAAGAATAATAATGTTTATCCTTAGCACAGTGTCCAAGCCACAGGCACCTCCTGTATTTCAGTTTGTGCCCACTGCCTCTTGTCCTGTCACTGGGCACTGCTGAAAAGAGCCTGGCTCCACTTTCTTTGCACCCTCCCTTCATAATTCTGTACACATTGATGAGACCCCATCTGAGCCTTTTCTTTTCCAGGCTGAACAGTCTCAGCTCTCTCAGCCTTTCCTTGCAGAACAGATGGCCCAGTCCCTTCATCGTCTTAGTGGCCCTTCACAGGGCCCTTCACTAGACTCTTCAGCAGCTCCATATGTTGTACCGGTGAGCCCGGAATTGTACACAGTACTCCAGATTCAGCCATACCAGTGCTGCACTGAAGACTAGAGGGGAAAATGAATACATCCTTTTTCCCCTCCCTAGTCATCCTTTTTCCTATGCACAAGGGAAACACTACCAAAATCTAGTTTTTAGATGTGGATAGTATGGGATCCGTAGAAAGGCTGGTTTCAACACAGCCTTGTTTTAAGAATAAAACAAGGTGTTGTGGTTTTATTCTTAAAAATAATTTTCTTGTTCAAGCGAAGGATGTTTGATTTGCTTTTAGCTACATTTCACAGTTTTTACTTCTATGCCTCTCTTGAAAAATGTTTTACTCCCTCCTCTTAAGTATACAGTAGACTACAATGCCTTCCAACAATTCTATTTGCCACATTTAACAACATTTAAAAATTTGTGGAGGAAACTCAGCAATGTACAGTAATAGAAGATAAAGGCTTTTAATCCGACAATAATATTCACTCTTTTCTCATAACTAGAAAGCAGTCTCTGTGTATCATGAATTTACTTATTTCACTAAAAAGCCCTTTGGCTTGGGTACTCTTAAAGTTCCACCACCTTGTTCAGACAAATTGTATAGCACAGTATGTACTCAAATGAGAAAACTCTCTAGAGAGAGGCCAGATATACATAAAATTACCTGGTCTTCAAAGTCAAATTCTGTATAAACAGTATCTCCAGAATCCATAATCAGACCGCAATCAAGCTCATTTGCCCCTAAAAAAGGAAAGAAAATTAGGCCTCAGAAATGGATTTCAAATTTTCACATTATGTGATGGAACAGTATAATATTTCCAATTGTCTGTACGTGTGCAAACACTGATCCAAGGAACCATTCAGATGTGCTAGAACTCCCCGGGTGAATAGTATTCCATTAGCAAAGCCTTCAAAGCATCCATAAAAGCTACCACAAATCTCAATAAGGAATGGTTACACTAAGTGGTGAATTGTTTCAGCTAGATTGCAAATTTATTGGGCAGGGCCTTCTGTGTGCCATGACTTGCAATTGTAAAATTGCCTCTAGGATCTTGGCTCAGAGGAGGACACAAACCATCTTTAGGAAAGAGAAAGGAAGTGCTGACTATTTGGTGGTTAGCAGATAGGGATCCTGGAGTGATGTTGATGCGGGGACCAATGCAGCATGCTTCCAGCAGCAACAGTCCCCGTTCCTATCCTACCCCTTTCCAAGGCAAGTGTGGCTCTGCCCCTTCTCCCTGTCATCTTCCTGTGGCAGGATCAGCAAGTCATGGAGCCTCTTGCACTTGGGGGTTAGTCATTGCTAAACCAGAATGGGAGGATAAACCACTAATCTTCTTCATATATAAACACAGGAAGGCTGTAGTATGGACATCATATTCATATTCTGGCATTATCACCCCATTCAGATTATCTCATTCCTGGGCAGTGAGGAAGGAAAGAGTCTCCTGTGCCCTCCAGACGGTGCAGCCTTAAACCAAATCCTGCACGTATTCAACACACATTAAAACGTCAATAGGTGCGTGACTGCAGGAGTATTTTTCACAGCACTATTAAAATAACAAAAAATACTGCAATGACACATCTAAAAACTGTAAGTAGATAGTAGCCACAGGTGAGTCCAATCCCTGTCTTCATGTGGGGAGCAACAGATAACACTAGGGGAAGTAGAAGATATGCTTCGCTTTGTGCCCTCATATCCCCAGTCAGACAAGATCAACCATGAGGAAAACTCCTCTCTCCCTCCTGGGTTACGAGTGTCTCTACCTGGTATGATGTTCCTGTAAGCAGTGGCATTGACGATGCATGGTTTTATGACTTGCTGACCTGGAGTTGTTTTCTCACTACTAGAGTTGTCTGTATGGGTGGCTGTCTGTAACAAGCACTATCAGTAACAGATTTTGCAGTTCAATTTGTGCCAGATGCATTTATATATTATCTACTTTTGTTTGCTTTTAAAGTTTACATAGTAACAATTTATGTAGGCGGTGAACTAAACATCACTGAAAGAACAGAAGAGAGGAACTGGATGTCATGATGACTAAAACCATAACTGCTTGTTAGAGACGATGATTTCAGGGTGTCCTAATTTGCAATCCTTATTACATTTGCTGCCAAATTAATCTTTGATGCAACACTTTGGACTATGTAAGAGATACCAGGCAAAGACCTAGGCCTACCATCTGCTGGTGCGTGGTTACCCCCTATAATGTTCATGTATGCTTTATCAGAGTGCTATAAAAGTAAATAACAGAAAGGGATTATACTCATGCTACCTTGAAATGTCACATGTATATATGCAGCATGTTCTCTGGCATATACACTTTATGGTCTTTTGGAAATACCTCTCTGTAAAAGATATATGCAACCAAATAGATTTACAACTGCTGAGGGAATCTTAATTTTTTGATTTATTTTACACAGCTGACTGCTCACTTAACACTGTGTCATTGTTGATAATACAATTTAACTAAGCCTCAGTTGTCACCAGCATTGGCCTACACTGACACATCAATCACTTCTAAAGGCACTTGTGTGCAAGTATTTGATTAACTGTCACTTAACTACCAAGAGCAGTATGTATCCTTAGCTAGAAATGTTAATATGAAATATGGCGCCGCAAACTTAAATGTAAAGGTCAGGCTGAAAATGAATACTCATACATAATGTATCTTAAGTGATAAAAGCCGTAATGGTTATACAATTTTAATATGGTCAAGCATCTTAAAGCCTTTTTTTCTTGAACTAGGACAGCAGTTTCCTTGGGGAAGCATAGCTCCTTTCTTGGGTATATTCAAGGAAGGTCAGGAAAATTGAAAATACGTCTTTTCCTTCTTGGTTCAATTAAAACTATAAAAGCCATAACCATCTATCACTCAGCAGTATACAGAGAACACTACCCTTCTCAAATTGCCTAAAGACAAACCTATCAGAAATTAATTGAAATGAATGGCAACTCCTGGGACAAGATAAAGTAATGACAGGACAACACCAAGCTGTGTGGTGTGGTTGATATGTTGGAGGGAAGGGATGTCATCCAGAGCGACCTAGACTGGCTGGAGAGGTGGGCCTGTGCCAACTGCATGAGGTCCAACAAGGCCAAGTGCAAGGCCCTGCATGTGGGTCGGGGCAATCCCAAGCACAAGGACAGGCTGGGTGGAGAGTGGATTGAGAGCAGCCCTGAGGAGAAGGACTTGGGGTACTGGTGGATAAAAAGCCGGGTATGAGCTAGCCGTGTGCGCTGGCAGCCCAGAAAGCCAACCGTACCCTGGGCTGTACCCAGAGAAGTGTGGCCAGCAGGATGAGGGAGGGGATTCTCCCCTTCTACGCTGCTCTGCTGAGACCCCACTTGGAGTGCTGCATCCAGCTCTGGGGCTCCCAACACAAAAAGGACATGGACCTGTTGGAGTGCCTCTCCTGTGAAGACAGGGTTAGAGAGTTGGGGTTGTTCAGCCTAGAGAAGAGAAGGCTCTTGGGAGACTTTATAGCAGCCTTCCAATACCTGATGGAAAAGGTCCCCCTCCAGCTTTCTTGTAGGCACCAAGGGCATGTTATGATAGGAGAAGGGACAATGGCTTTAAACTGAAAGACGGATTAGGTACAACGAAGAAATTCTTCCTGATGTAGGTGGTGAGGCACTGGAACAGGTTCCCCAGAGTAGTAGTGGATGCCCCCTAGTAGTTACCAAGCACCTGATCTGAAAAGGTATTCCTGTGACTTAAAATATGCTTCCTCAATTTCAGTGCATGTGTAAAGTTGAGGTAAGAATTTTTGTCATTTTCATATGCCCTGTGTTTTCTGCAGGGGGGAGGAAATAGAGAGGATTATATTAGGTACAGTGCTGCACAATTAAAAAATAAATCAGTTGGAAGTTTTTATTAAATCCTCATTAACTGAATAATCAGCTCCCCAGGGAGGAGCAGGCTGCTGAAAAAAGGAACAGCAGATCAGCTGGAATGCATTCCCTTTTTTGCTAGGCTTGTTATCTTGACACTGAAGGCATCATTCATAGAGATTTGTCTTGCTAGGAACCCAAGAGGATCTGATGCCTCAGCGCTGAGGGATGAGTTGAATTAATGGGTGGCTGCAGCTGTACAAGGGTGTGCTGACAGCAGCTAAACCATGACACCCTGTCAGGTCTGACAGGCAGAATGACTCCCCTGCCCCTGGAGAAGTGCGAAGCTGTGCTCAGTTGCTTCCTCCACCATAAGGCTGGATTTTGAAATTTTATGCTGTATTGTTCGTTGCTTCTAAGCTGAATTGCACAGGGTTGGTCGTGGAAAGCTGAGAGGGTACGGCTGTCACGGGCACGTCTGTGATTCCTACCACAGAAATGCATCCCAGAACCCAGGGGCATCATGGCCATAAAATGTCTGGTTCTATAAAATGTCAGTGTTCTCAGCCTGGCTGTGTGTCACTTTCTCTGTAAGTGTGTTCATCCTTAAGTTTTGTTGAATGCAAATGTCAAGCGTTGCTTTTTCACAGTTCACTAGATACATTTATACAATTAAACTAAATTGTATTGATCTGTCTAAATTTACTTGCAGTTGATAGAACTTCCCATTACAAGGTAGCTATACCCCATCACGTGAGTTAATTAAATCTGCTCCTTGGACCGTTTGTGTTTTGGCAAACCAGCTAATGTGTTTCCAGACCCTACTTAAATCTGTTACTTATTTCAAATCCTGGTCGCAGTTTTATTCAATATCGTTTATTGGCTCAAATACACCCATACTCAATATTTTAGCAATTATAGTGTTTGCACTCTTGACACTTACTGTCATAAGTAATATAAGACTATCTGGTGAAACATGTTTCTTAATAGCATGTTTAAGCTCAATAAAATACAGATGTCTTTTTGTTGTTGTTACAGAACATGCTCTGAAGCACCACCTAATAACTCAGTACATGTTGCATATAAGCATTTGGGAAGACAAATGCTTAGAAGATTAATTTCAATTGGAATATAATAGAAATAATTTACTGAAGGACTGATTAGTATTAGAATGATTACATTTTAATTTTGCTCTCAGTAAGATGCTTCTACTACAAATGTTATTGCAACCTTACACTGCTGAGTGTCATGACAGGCTGTTGCTCTTAGCAACAGTCTTAATATGCTGTAGAAGACAGCAATGAGAAAATTGTATTTTAATATAGAAAAATATTCAGTTATTTTCTGTTAGCATATATTGTTACAGAGTTGATTACAACTGGATTTTACAGGTATAACATGAATTACACTGATGTGGGGGCATGAACATAATAGAAATACTGTGTTTATGTTAGCCACCAGGAACCAAAATACACTGCAGTATCACTAATAAGATTAAAATACAAAAAGTGAGATTCAAGGCAATGCTGGAATTGTGACCTCCAGAAATTAAAAATCTGGTATCATAGGATCTCTAGAAATCCTACTTTGAATCTCCTTACTACTACTGGTGCTTAGGTTAGGCACCAATTAGATGATTGTGGCATGGCTTCGGATAAAGCTCATAGCTCCCCAATTATTTTGGTGAGGGATTTATTAAGTAGATCAGGCTTTCAAGGAACTGACTGGAACTCATCGAGAATCGCAACCAATTTTTTAAATTGTTTAACTATTGTCAATCTGTTTGTCAGAGCTAGCGCCTTTATGCCACTTCTTTCCTCTTGCTATTCAGTACTTAGCTCATTTTATTAGGGAATCCACAGGTAATTGTCAATACAATGCTATACAGAAGGAATGTCATTTTAGGTTTGGAATCAATCTCTTGCCTCTAGGAACATCGCTAAGCACAAAAGAGGTAAGCGTGCCACTTAAGAGAAAGCTACTAGTCTCTATTTTTGTGTGCACCTTATCTTGATGCTGACCACCAGAAACCTGGGTGTTTAGCACGTTTTATCATTCTCAATCCCCACCCCCTTGATAATTCATCTTTATCTCATTTTGAACAATATAAAAAATAGCCTTATGGGTGGGGTTTTGCAGGCTAGCTAGCTTGGAACCCCTTCCAAATCTTAAAAATATGACCTAATCTTTCTATCTGAAACACCTTTTTTTCTAATAGCATGACATCTGGGAAGAGCAATCATCGCCTCTTTGTCAAAAAGAGATAAAAGATGTATTGCTTCTAAGAGACTTCATTGTGCTTCATCAATTCCTCCTTCCTTGGCAGCCCCCCGATGATTGTTTACGATTACAAATAACGGAAGCTTCCCTGTCTGCTGATTTATGGCAGATAGGTTTTCCCTTAAACAGAGATCAGATAGAGAATTTTCTCTACTACACATCTGATCTTTGTTTTAATAAAGCTAGTACATTTTACAGGAAAACACTTCACCTAGAATTTTCTTCTTGTGTGCTGTTTCACAAGACACTTATGACCTCATCTACCTATATAACCCTCATGGTCTACTTGGAGGGCAGCCAGGGATGCCCTCTGTAAAAAGAGTAAGCTGTGAAGTTTCCAAGGAACGTTTTCCTATTTCCATCAAGCAAAATATTTCTGACAGATGTTACGGATTTTCAGTGTTTTGATTTTTAGCTTCAGTTCTTTTGCAGTCCTTTGTCCCACAAAGGCTTTTTCTCTGAAGACATTCAAGCCTCAGTAAGCACAAATAATAAATATATAAATAAATAACCCCCCCAAACGCCTAACTTACATTCACACACAGTTTCAGAATTAGTGCCAGTTATTAGGGAGGAAGTAATCATTAATTTAATAGCACTGGTTTTTTGGTGTACAGTGAGGTATCATCTAGAATGGAAAGAGATAGCTGACAACTGGAATTGATCAACTTAGAAAGTTTTGGTATTAATCAGAGAGTGGTTTAGCGAACTATCCATAGTATTTTAAGATGAGCTTGCAGATAAACAAGATGGGTTGGGTGGGTTGTATGAAGCTTCCAAGTGTGAAGACACTTTTTTTTTGCGCTCTTGTACAAATATTTTTGAAGTAGGTCAAGATTCTGCTACAGCACATACATTTTTCATATTCCACAAGTGTGTATGTATCCCACCAATGTCAAGCGCAGTATACAAAATGTGGTTCTTAAATCTTACGTTAACTCACCTACTGCAGCCTCTTTGTTTGCAAACAGTTTATTGTCAACTGCCGAACTTATGTCAAAGAACACCTCTTCTTCATCTCGGTCTGCGTCAAACTATTTAAAAAAAAAAAGTTGGCAATCAGACACTGTTCACTACTTGGCTGAACATCAGCATATAACACGACGTTTCATCCCAAGTCATCTTGATAGGAACCTTTCTATTTTTCTGTGTGTTGTCCATTGTTTTAAGTATGAATAATTTTAATTTTGACTGAAAACTGAAGTAATTCTGTAAATGATTTTGCCTATTTTAAATAGCTCGTCAGGGACAGAAGCTACACTAAAATTGACTTGCTCCTGGAGAACGAAGTTTCAAAGCAGAAAGTAAAATTAGTAATGCAGATTATTTTTTCAGTCATTGTATGGTTGAAAAAAAATGAGCAGAGACCAAAAATGTGATTACTTTGCTGTCACTTCTTTTCAGAAATTAGCACAATTAACTATCTAATTTGCAAGTGAAAAATTTTCAGCGACTTCTGAATTGTCTGGAACCAATTTTTGTGACATATATGTTTGTACAGTTTCTTCAAGTAGTTGAGCAAAATTCTGCAGAAAAAATTAAGTATTTTTGTAAGTCCCCTGTTATATAGAAAAGAAATCTTCCCTTGCTCTCACACTAGCAGAAAGTGTATTGGAGCGTGATAAATCAATAAAATATAGAAAGCAAAGCTCCTTGAAAATGACAAATTAATTTCTTATCATTTTAAACTTTTTTCCTGTTTTTTTCTATCTTTTGCTGAATTCTGATACTGTTCTCCCAAGTTTGTTCTTAGCTCTGTTTGACAGGTTCTTTTTACAGCCAGGTGACAGGCTTGACAGCAGGTTTGTGGTTTTTCTTATTATATTTATTAAGCTTTGTTCATTGACATCATCATATATTGAAGCTTTCTTTGGAAAAAAAATTGGACATTTTATTACTGTTGCTCTGGATTTTTTTCTTATTTCCTGAACTGAGGCCAGGTTTCCATTACTATGGAAAAAGGGAATACTGTAACCTCACGTTACAGGAGCAAAGAAATTATGGTCACATCAGATGCCTCTCAATCAGTGCATGCCCCCCATACAGGAGTAATTTTTTCACTCATTCTGTGCCTTCAGTGTAATATGTTTTAGAATGAACCCCAGGGCAAAAAGCATTACACTCGCGACTGCAAGCTCATGAACTTCAGCGCACTCTTTCTTCCAAGTCCAAAACCACTGAGCACCTTTTCAGATGTCTCGCCAATACCTGCCTGTCTCATGGTAACAATAACAGGCAGGGAAAAGCCGTGGACAGAGAAGTTCAAACCCTACTGGGAACTTTGCTGCAGAAACTAACATTTATAGAGATTGTTTCCCAAATACCTATCTCAGAGTATACCATAATACTTTAATTCTTAATTTTAGAGAGATACTGAATACCTTGTCTAACACCTACCACTGCAAAATCAGTATCATCTTTTCATTATGCCTTATGATGACTTCTGTATTGTCTATATTACTTAAGCTGTTCTCTTATGGGTAATGAAATTTGCTTTCTTATGTTATTTTCCACCAGCATCTCAAGGTAAACTCAGAGACAAGTATCAGCCCAAGAATAATGTTTTAGAGTGGCAGATGTCAGAAATAGTTGAAATACAGAGAAAGAGACAAGGAATAATTCTACAAACTGTGTCTGTGTGAATAAAAGGAAGCTTGTGGGAGGGCAGAGTATGCTAGAGAGAAGCAACCATAGGGCAAAGTTTCCTGCCAACAAGCTTAACTCAATACCTGTGTGCTGCTTTTAGTCAGGAAAGAGTTAAATTTCTTCACAGGGGCTGGCATGCAGCTAGGTTTCTGGATTTACTCTGAGAAAGGAACTGATTAGGTGTCTCTTTAGCTGGTGCTGGGGAGAGCCAGCACCAATTCAATGTCTTTCCCAGCTTCTGATACTCGCAGTGTTCCCAGTTTTCTCACTCCAGGCAGTTGGGGGGACACACAGTTCAGACAGCCGACCCAAACTGACCGATGGGGTATTTCATTCCATAGTACCTCATGCTGGGTACATAGGCAGGGAATGGGCTCAGGGGACATCACTCTCACACTTTACACTTTCTAACACTTTCTCTAACTACTTTGTTAGCTGTTTTGCTACCTCCTGTGCTGGCTCATTCATGAGTGAGTTGGTGGGTCTGTTAGTTTTCCCGGTCATGCTGTTGCTGATGGGGTTCGCTCAGACTCTGCTGTGATTGCTCTCAGGCTTTCTGGCTCTGACTCTCACTACTCAGGAACTGGCTGTGCATCGGACAGTGGGTGGTGAGCAACTGTATCTTATGTTTTTTCTATTATTTTAATTACTTGGTAGTAGTAATATTGTTCTATGTTCATTTATATATATATATATAATTCATTTATTTTCAGTCAGTAAATAGTCCTTACTCAATTTTATGAGCTTTCTTGTCTTTTTCCTCTGATTCTGCCCCTCTGATGGAAGAAGGGAGAGGGGGAGGTGTGAGAGCGGCTTAGTGGTATTTTGGTGGCCAGAGTTAAACCATGGCAACCTGTCTGAGTGCTCAAATCTTTATTAGTCCTGATTTAAATACTTATAGTCTTGATATTTAGTTTTATGCTAGGCTCAGCTCTAAAGTTAATTTCCATCATAAATGAGCCTACTGTAATTATCAATACACGGAGTTCTCTGATTATTTCTTAACATGGAGTTTTCGTCAGAAGTCCATGCTATGATGTAGCATGCTTGTCCATCTGCCTGGGGAGACATTCAGCTATTCTTGACGAGTTCTTTTGCCATTTAATGTTAATCAAAACTCGAAAGTGTTACTTTTTATTTACAAAACAGAAATTTGTTTGTGTTGTGTTTACCTATCAGAAGGATTACACCTTAACTCAAGTCAAAACTGAAGCTTGTGGAAGAACAGTGCTTAAATGAAGCTGTTGGGCTACCACTGGGTAATTTATTATCCATACATAAAGAGCAGCTCTGAAAATTTCTTGTTGCTAAGAAAAGAGTATTGATCTCTAAATTCTTCTGTGCTGGTCTGTCTCTGAGAAAGCGTGGGGATACGCTTCTGTAATTTCTCAGAGAAAAAAAAAGCACGTTTGATTAGATATACCAGGAATATCATTATTATATGATGTTTGTGGGTATGTGTATGCATAAAACCCAGTAAATTGTAATCAGGTTGTGTCTGATCATTACTGTGTAGGTCACACCACACTTGGAGAGATGACAGGCTTGCTTTCTCATTAGAGCATTCCTCTGAATAATCCAGTTTACCATGAAAAAACACATGATCAATCTCAAAACGTTCTGAAGATTCCAAGAATTTGAAACATCAACTTCCTCCATTCAAAGAACACCAGCTGTGCTTCAGTACTCTGAAAAATGTGAGCTTTGTAATGAAAGCCTATATTGTCACCCAAAGAAAACCAATTATTTGAAGCTTGCACATAGACTCAGTTTTCCCGTCACAAAATGAGATTTGTAATACCCTTGAGCCACAGGAAGGCAAGGTGGCTTTCACAGAGAAAATATTTTTGAAAGAAACTAAGTAACCGTGTGAGTTCTCTACTTCATTGAATTGCTAAACATTTTAAAATGAAATCCTTAGATAATTATTGGAGGCTTGAATAAAACATAAAAGGTACTCAAACAACCCTATTCAGAAAGAACAAACAGCAGTATAACTTGTATTTTTAGCAGAAATGTCTAAATTTTTTCCCTACTGAAAACAAATCCCTACTCACTGCAAGACACAGCTTTTTGCAACTAAATTATCTACTGGTATCTTTATGGATGGCTGAGCTTAATTATAGTCAAGGCCTATATTTTATAGAAATGTAATTTTATTAAACATGCCACTGAAAGCATTTGCAATACACAAGACACATTAACTGTGCTTTTATCTGAATTGATACAATCTTTACCAGTGATGTAGGAAAAAGCAAAGTATGTCTTCCCTGGGAGGTCAGTGAGGTTTGAGGTCTGAACTCACCCTGCAGTGTTTCCCTCAATAAGGCACTAATGGGTTTTGTAGTCCACTATCTCTGTTTTGCTGGAGGAGGACATCATGATTTAGCAAAGAAATGAACAGAAGTCATGTATCTCGGTACATAATGACTTTATTTTTTTGAAAATAAATTATGATTGGCATAATGATGAATTTTCTGGGAAGTTTATTCCAGTTTCACATGAACACTGTTGAATTGGAGGATTTGATGCTGGCATAGTGTTATAGATAAAAATGATGGGAATAACTTCTAGATCTTCTGCATTGTTGTCATGGTTTAGCCCCAGTAAGCAACCAAGTACTACAGAACCACTCACTCACCTCCCCTGCCTCACACTTGCCCAGTACAACGGGGGAGAGAATTGGAGGAATAAGATAAAGAGCACCATGTGAGCAGACAGAACAACACTCTGATCAGCCACTATGAAACTAGTCTAATAAATGCTTATAACAAACTTATTTTATGCTCTGGTCAGATCTGTTGTTACCTCAACCCTCCGTGCCCCTCACTGGGCATCACAAAGGACTGTCGTGGAACGAGTAATTATTCTAGGGAAAGCAAGGTTGTACTTGCTGCTCTCAGAGAAAATGATTAGAGTTTCTAGATAAGAACCCAACAAATCCACAATTCCTAGACAACAGAAGGAGGAAGTGGAAAGACAGTCATTGTTTGGTAAGTGGACAAATCATCCATGTATTATTACCTACAGCAGAGGAATCATTCCTTTTTATTGAAAAGAAAAAAAAAAAAAAGGCGAGTAAGCCACAAGAGAACATGGCTTCTTGTGTCCCATGCTTTTGAAAGCGATACCTAGTTCAGAAGTCAGGTTGTACCACTGTCCTTGAAGCGTTGGTATTTTTTGGTTGAAAAGTTGACAGTCCCTTTAGATGGTAACATAAAGAGATTCATAAGATTGAGCAAGTTATGATTTTTCAGTAGGCAGTGGCTACAGCTGTGACAAGAAGAACTATTTTTATTCAGACTGGTTTAGGCAGAGGTTTACTCCTGAAGGAGTGAAAACAAGTAAGAACTAGTTTTATTGTACCCTTGGTAATACCTAGAGGTGA